CGAGAAACCCGCAGAGGACGAGGCACTGGAGGAGCATCTGGCCGCGGAGGCAGGAGGAGACGCAGCCAAAATTCCAGCCCAGGCGGCAGCGGCGTCGGGCGCGAGGGCATGCCGCCCCTGTATGTGCGCAGCTGCAGCTGGGACTTCCAGACAGCGTTCGACCGGGTCCACCCCGATCTGGTTCGCATGGTGTGGCTGGAACTCGGCGTGCCCTTGCGGATCGTTGACTCCATCGCGCGCGGTGGGAAACGCAACGACGGAGCATAGAAGTGGGCGCGCATGCTGCGCCCCGCACGGTAGCAGACCCAGCGTCGCTCCCGCAGGGACCCGTTGGGCATGATAGGCATGGCCTCAGTTATGATGCCCTTGCTGTACACGATTTAGAGAGGAGTGCCTGGGGCGACCCTGAGCACCCACGCCGACGACAGGAACGCGGCGTCGCATTCCGCGCAGGACATCAAGGACACCGAGGCGATGTGGCGCGCGCTTGTGGAGGTCACGGCCTTGCGCGCTAATGTCTCCCAAACTCAGGGTTTGGTGTTCGACAGTTCAGGCAGGCTCCCAGAGGGCAGAATCAAAGAACTTAGCGTACGTGTAGACGCACGGTGGCCAGGGCGGCGGCGGCAGCAGGCAGCCGCAGACGACGACGCGGAGCGTCCAGAGGAAGCGATGAGACGAGCCGCGAGGATCCGAACCCTCCCGTTGGGTTACGAGGACAGGGAGATCATCGTTGGCGTCGTTATCTTGCCCAAGCACGCGCGGCGGATCTTACGCCAGGTGCCAGGGCGCCAGGAGCGACGGAAGATGCAGCAACGCATCACGGACAGCATCTGCAAGACGCACCTTCGTGGTGGAAGTACTTACCCGGAACGCAGACTGGTGGTCGGGAGCAACCTTGAGATGTCCTACTGGCAAACGCGGCGCCTCTGGCAACCACTCGCAAAGCGCGTCCAGCGCCAGGGGGAGGAGGAGGTCAGAAGGCAGCTCATACGGACACGGCAGCTGAGGGCGACGGCCCCAGTAGGCCCCGACACTTTAGACGCTACCCTGGGGTTCCTCGGGGAGATGTGGGCGACAGTAGCAGACGGCAGCAGGGGCTGGTGTTGGGCGACGGCAGACGCGAAGCTCACCTTTGACATGGGGCCGCGCGCGGCTGGACATCAGCTTCGCGAGATCTGGAGGAAGAGTATGTGGGACAACTACGTGGCCACCCGCGCGAGGAGAGACGCCGCAGCGGCCTGCAACGATGGAGTCGCGTACGACGCGCACGTGGTCCGTGCCGCTGGCATGATGTTGCGAGGCACGAGCCAGGAGGATAAGGTCGTGATGCCGCACGTGCGGGCAGTCCTGACAGGCGCAGTATGGAGTATGGAGCGACGCGCGCAACGACAATATCGTACGCGGCGCAACGCCAGGCCCGTGCACGAGGTGCCAGAGTGGGCCAGTTGTAGACCAAACCCATCAAATGTTGGGTTGCGCCGGGTTGGACGATGAGCGCCGAGGCGCCACGGCTCCAAGATCATGGGCTGGGCCAGCAGCTCGCTGGAGGACAGGCCATGGACAGGATACGTAGGCGCATCCTCGCGGATCGCTACGGCGGGCCCACCGAGGCAGAGGAAGCAACCCAGCAGATGGCGAGGCAGCCTGGAACCGAGGGCGCGAGAAGGAGACAGAGCGAAGAGGAGGAGGCGGAGGGGAAGGAGGAGGAACCGGAGGCAGCGGGAACCGCTTCGCACGCGGCCGCCGAAGCAGCCACAGAGGGCGCCGAAACACCCGAACCTGGAGAGGTCAGGGAGAGGGAAGCAGAGAAAACCGAGGAGGTCGAGAAGGAAAAGGAGGAGGCAGAAAAGGGGGAGATTGAAAACGTCGCAGAGAATGCAGCAGCAGCAGCAACACCCCGGCCAAGGCGGGCCAGGGATAGGAGGGCAGACGGGCGGAGAAGGGAGGCAGAGGCAAAGAAAAAGGCTGAGGAGGGCGAGAGGGAAGCGACAGAGACAGTGGCTGCGGCCGCGGCGCGAGAGCAGGAGGCACCGCAGAGGACCGGCGCTGGCTGCCCACCACAGCCGGGCCCGGGCAGAACGAGGCGCAGGGCCCCAGGCTGGGGCGGCCTATCCAGGCCAGTTCCGTCCAGAGCCATGCTGTGCCCGCGCTCCACTACTGCAAGACCGCCAACGAGGGCTGCCCCCCGGAGCTACCCCCGCCCTCGGGCCTCCGGAAGGACGACGCGCCCCCCGAGGAGGAGAACGGCGAGTGCGACCGCGACGCGGGCGACCACCACTGCGTGCACTGCCTCGAGCTGTCGTGGTCACCGCAGAAGATCGGCTACTGCTGCAGGAAGGGGCGCAAGAGCTGCAAGGGCGAGGAGCCCGAGTGAGCGGTCGCCCGCCTCTCGCGGCCTCCCAGGGGCTCCCGGGGGCTGGCTCCGAATGCTTCGATGTTTGACGACACGGAAGGGTCAGGCGGTATCCCCGTCTTGCCTGCGCTTTAGAAGGCGGCAAGACGCGCTCCGACGGGCGCATCGAATCCGCTGGGAACGTTCGAAGTTCCTCCTGTTCCCCACTTGGGGGAGGGGCCGCAATAGTTAGTTCCACGTTGGTTCCCAGCAGGCTCACGCCACGTCCGATGAGGGGGCCGAGGGGTCCAGGTCGCGGCGCGGCGCGGGCGGGAGGCGAAGCGTTTCCCGCTCACCCTGGCTCCCAGCGAAGACATCATGTCCCACGCCCTGCTTTGTTTGGGTGTTGGTTGCTGTTCTCCTCTGTTTGGTCGGAAAGCGTGGATCAGTACGAGGGAGGAATCAAAAAGATTGTCCGGGAGTGCGCCCAGACGGCTCAAGGTGGTTCCAGGAAACCCAGCGACTGCCTTCGGAGTATCCAAGCGCTACCCGTAAAAAGGTCGGATAGGCCACAAGACAGGCGCTGGGATCCGCCTGGGGAAATTCCCAACGCCCCAACTAATATGTTACGTGCGCGTTTCTATGAATGTCCATGCGCGTCTGTGTGTGGTTGTGATATTATTCGTATTCCAGACGTTTCGATGAGGGTTCGACAAGCCTAATCCATGAGGGCCCACAGTCCGTTCCCAAGATGCTTCATGGGGCACTTGAGGGTTGACCTTCAGGTTGTGCATCGTCGTCTGGTCATGTTTTCTGGTCCAACATAGGGTGTCACCATGGCATCGTCTAGGGGGCACGATTTGAGAGGACCTCGAGGCCCCTCACAGACCGTATGAATGCACCGAAGGGTCCCGAGAGTAAATGCACATCCAACACGGTCCCAGGAGGACCCTTGCAGAACCTAAAGGGGGTGCGAGAGACTCCCGCGAGGGCCTGACGACGCCCCATTGGCCCACAGCGGCCCCATGAGTCCAAGACAGCCCCACACGAATTCCTTGGTACCAAGTGAAACACTTGTCGTGATTGGCTTCACGGACCGTACGCTATTGCTCCGCATGCTTCTACCGGTTTGGCCACCACTGCTATCCGCATGAAGGTTCCGTTTCGGATACGCTCGACCAGAGTCCGAATGCGGTTGTCGGTCTGCCAGTTTGCGCACGTGTGAACAGAGTCACACATTGATTATATCAAAGTGTAGCATGACATGTGGTCAACCCGACGGGAAGAATTCGAACAAACAAAGTTGCACCCATTCCCCCCCAACCTTGTCACCCCTCGTCGACCAGCTATTCCGAAGGACATGGCAGGACAGGATTGGACCGCGAGGGATCGGGGCGAATTCGGAAACGCCGATCGGGGAGGGGCAGGACAATGACATGAAGGAGGAGGAGAAGGTGGAGGAGGAACAGGAGGAGAGGAGCGGGGAGGGAAGGGCAACGGGAAGAAGTGGGCTGGTGGGGGCCGAGGGGGTCAAAGTCTGAAAGGTGAGGGGGTAGGGGGATGAAGGGGGGGAGATCTTCCAGGGGAAAAGTGGGACGGGACACCGGAAGAGTGAGGGGATGTTCGGGGTGGAGGGAGAAGGAGGAGGAGGAGGAGGAGGAGGAGAAGGAGGAAAGGAGGAGAAGGAGGCGAAGGAAGGGGAGAGCAGGAGGGGGGAGGGAGCAGATGGAGGCAGGCACCAAGGCGTCCCTCGTTCTCGCTTCGCGCTTCCGTCGCCATCCGCCACGTCCTCCCTGACATCCGACGTTGTGAGCAGATACACCTTAGGCGATGCTTAAGAAAACTTAAGTTTTCGGCCAGAGTCTCGATTATTCTTAACGTTTCAATGTAAATCTTAAGATTTTGATAGAAAGTTTGGGTAGGTAATTCACGCTCTAAGCTTCGGGACGCTCCGAGAAGGCCGCGGTGCCCGATGCAGCTTCCAGAACCGCCGGATCTCAGAGATCCTCGATGCATCTGTATTGGAGACCTATGCCAAGAAGCACCCTGCTTGCCTCCAGGGTGCCGGGGTTTCTTGGGCTCCGATGGCGCTGCGACGGAGAGCGCGTCGCTCACACACCGGAATTCGATGGACGTCCTGGGGACTCAGGGTTGGGTTTCTTGTGGAGGGGTTCTTGTGGACTTGCCTCCGCTGTATGTCCGATTGTGTCCCGGTCCTGGCCTCGCATCAGTTTGGCTATCGTGCGGGCCCCAAGAATATACACCACCACCAAGTCGATTCCTCCTCCCTCCTCATACCCTCCTCTTCCTTCCCTCTTTCCTGGGAGAGGGACGGGGTGAGGGTGGTGGTGGTGGTGGTGTGCAGTTGTGGGCCCTGTATACAGCGGGGGCGCACATCAAGAAACCATTTGCTTTTCGTCAGGGTTTTCTCGCTCCGCGCGCTGCGTGGTGACTTCCAGCGGCCGTCAAAGAGGCTGCTGCGTTAAGGGTGCTCCGGGTTTTCCCTCAGGTGCACTTCGCGCGCGGGTTTGCAGGGTTGGGTTCCTTGCGAGGGTGTATTGCGGCCGCGCCCGCACTGAACCAGGCCGTCTCCTCCTCATCTGCCTCGTTGCTCGGCGTCCTGGCCTCGCCTCTCTCAAGCGAGCCCCTCACCCGACCCGGGGGGGAGGTTCGCGCTCGTCCTCTTCGGGAGCTCGGCGCCGCTGCTGGGCGCGCGCGCGCGCCCTCGCGATCCGCCTGCTTGCCCTATGATGTTCCAACCCACTTTCGCCTTGATCACCAGAAAGAATTTCGAGCACCAAGAGAGCAGCGAAACTTGATGGTTTTCATGTCTCGGACCCTGGGAGGCGATACTCGTTCGACACTTTTTCGGGAATCTTCTGGGTGTTCGAAATCAGTTCTAGGATTTAGCCCTGAAGTACGATGGGGGCAGCATAGTGCTTGCCCTGCTGCCTGACTTTGAGCGCCCCAGCGATAGCGGCGTTGCAATTTTTCACGCTGGCCATTCTGCGAGAGGCGAGGAGGAGCGAGGACCAACAGAAATCAGACGGGGGAGATCGGACAGGACGAGGAGGGGGAAGAGGAGGAGGAGCAGGGTCAAGAGGAGGAGGAGGAGGACGAGGAGCAGGGCGATGAGCAGCGAGGACGAGGAAGGTGATGCTGAGGCAGAGCTCGGGGCGCCGCCGTGGTTGTGCCACACCCTCGGCGCCGAGGCGGGGCCCGAGGCACCTCCGCAGACCGCGCTGTGGCAAGAGAGCCTTCCCGGGCAGGGCCCTGGCTCTTGGCATCGCTCGGACGTGTGCATTTTTCCCTCGGCGAGGAGCATCGCGGAGCATCCTGGATCATCTGGCGAAAAAAACCACGCGCGAAGCCGAGAGAAGCACAGGAAATGGACGTCCGAGCGATGGCCAGGGCTCCTGCGGGCCCGCGGGAAGGGGGGCACTCTCTCCACGACCCGCCGGGCGCCCGGCGCCCGGGGCCCCTGCGCCCCCGGGGCGTCCCGCGCGCGCCTCCTCGGCGTGCGCTCGCGGGCCCCCCGCCGACCCCCGCGGGCGCTCCTCTCGTGGCGGCGCGGTGCGGTGGGAGGAGGCCACCACCCACCAAAGCACCCCAACCCGACCCGAAGGCCTTAGATTGACCTCCTTTTCCAGGGGGGGGGGGGTCGGGGGACATCGAGAGCACACATGTGGAACCCGTACCCCCCCCCCAACCCGAAATTCGGGTCTTCGGGTTGGGTTGGGGTGGTCTGATAGGTAGTCAAGAGGCTTGGCATCGCTCGGACATGTGCAGTTTGCCTTCGGCGAGGAGCATCGAGGAGCATCCTTGATCATTTGGCGAAACAACCGCGCACGAAACCGAGAAAAGCACAGGGAATGGACGTCCGAGCGATGACCAGGAGGGGGGCTCGGGGGCTCGTGGGCCCGGGCCTCGAGCAGTGGCGAAGCGTCCCTGGTCGCCCATGGGCCCGCCGAAGGATGTTGTGAGAGCTTTTTTTTGGTTTGCACAACATGTTCTCAGAATATTCCTGGCTGGGACTGTCTTGTTTTAGCACATCGTGCGGATGTTCTGAGAACATTGCTTTTGTTCTTAGAACATTTTGGGGTTCCAAGGACATGTCGTGGTAGGACTACAGGAATGCCCGGACGGTCGGTCCCTGCTCAAAGACACTCCCGCGGGGGGGGGTTCTTCACCATCTTCGGCCTGGGGGTGCCCTCTGCCAGGCCCCAGGCCGGCCACAGAACGATTCGGGGCGAAAGACCAGTTCGGGGGAGGGGTCGAGACCTGGGGGTAGACGTTATGACAAAAATCATGACGTTCGGTGGCTCAAGTCGGGCATGTCCCTTTACAGGAGGAATATGGAAAATTTGTTAGGAAATAGTCGGGGACGATTTTTCCATGATTTGTTTTGATTATGCTTAAATATGTTTTGACATGTTATTTATGTATTCAAAATCTGCCCGTCGGGGTACATGCCCGACCGAATCGTGGAGGGAGGGTTCTCCCAAGGTGGGGCCGGGGAGCGGGCCCAGCTGGATGCTCTCGTTCCACGCGTGTCCTTCTGCCAGGAGCCCTTCGGAGCGATATCCTTGCCCACGACACTATGTTTTAATATTTCTTTGAATCTGTGTTCCCTACCTAGGCTCTGCCTAGAGGGTTCTTACTCTCTTTCTTAAAAGGGCCGGGCAGTGGAAATCGCCCGTGGCGGTTCCCCCAGTATCCGCCCCGCGGTTCCCCTTGTTGCGTCCCCTTAGCTTAGCGTTGTTTACTTCATCTTAGCTTAGCTTATTTCATCTTAGCTCAGCTTAGCTTCATCTTAGCTCAGGTTTATTTACTACCTAGGCTCTGCCGAGAGGGTTCTTACTCTCTTTCTTCAAGGGGCCGGGCAGTGGAAACCGCCCTGGGCGGTTCCCCCAGTATCCGCCCCGCGGTTCCCCTTGTTGCGTCCCCTTAGCTTAGCGTTGCTTATTCATCTCAGCTCAGCTTATTTCATCTTAGCTTAGCTTAGCTTCATCTTAGCTCAGGTTGTCTTAGCTTAGCTGACCTTCATCTTAGCTTCTCTGAGCTTTAGCATAGCAGATCACAGCATAGCATAACATAGCGTAGCATAGCATAGCGCAGCACAGCATATCATAGCATAGCCCAGCATAGCATAGCACAGCGCAGCATAGCATAGCATAGCATAGCGCAGCACAGCACAGCACAGCACAGCATAGCACAGCGCAGCATAGCATAGCATAGCAGAGCACAGCGCAGCATGACATAGCATAGCTTAGCATAACATAGCATAGCATCGCATAGCATAGCATAGCGCAACATCGCATAGCATAGCATATACTACCATAGCATAGCGCAGCATAGCATGGCATAGCATAGCAACTAGTTAATGCTGCTTTCCTAGGGGCTCCAACTTTTAGGTAGCGTCGCACTGGGGTAATCGATTATTTTTAATTGTTCTTCCAAAAAACCGTCTGTAGGAGAACGTGCCCGACCTAACAGTTTGGCGTTCCGCGCGGATTTCTTGCATCCGCGTTGGGCCCCCCCTCCCCCCCCCGGCGGCGCCTCCGGCGTCGCCGGCGTCGCCGCCAACAGTTTATGCTTATGTGGTTGTTTGTTCCCTACCTAGGCTCTGCCTAGAGGGTTCTTACTCTACGAGCTTACAGGGGCCGGGCAGTGCTCCTCGCCCCGGGCCGTTCCCCCGGTCCCCGGCCCGCGGTTCCCCCAGTTACGCCCCCTTTCCTTAGCTTTGCGTATCTCAGATCTTAGCTGAGCTTAGCTTAGCTTAGCTTTGCTTCATCTTAGCTTCGCGAAGCTGTAAGTTGGCTTAGCTTAGCTTAGTTGAGCATATCATAGCATAGCCCAGCATAGCATATCATAGCGCAGCATAGCATAGCATAACATAGCATAGCGCAGCATAGCATAGCATAGCATATCATAGCATAGCGCAGCATAGCATAGCATACCATAGCCTAGCATAACATAGCGCAGCCTAGCGTAGCATAGCGTAGCATAGCATAGCGCAGCATAGCTCAGCATAGCGCAGTATAGCATAGCATAGCATAGCATAGCATAGCATAGCATAGCATAGTGCAGCACAGCACAGCATAGCATAGCGCAGCATAGCATATCATACCATAGCCTAGCATAACATAGCGCAGCCTAGCGTAGCATAGCATAGTGCAGCATATATCAGCATAGCGCAGCATAGCATAACATAGCATAGCATAGCGTAGCATAGCAGAGCATAGTGCAGCATAGCATAGCATAGTATAGCAAAGCAGCACATCAAAAACAAAGCAACAACAGCAACGGCAAACCACATCAAATCACAAGCAACGCGTAGCAAAGCAAAGCAACATCAAAGCAAACTAAAAGCAATCGCAACAGCACAAGCAAAGGCACAGGCAAACGCAAAGGCAAGAGCAAACGCAAAGGCAATGCACATCAAAAGCAAAACACATGCGACAGAGTAGATGTAGATGTAGATGTAGGTGTAGGTGAAGATGTAGATGTGGATGCAGGTGTAGATGTAGATGTAGATGTAGATGTAGTTGTAGATGTATGTGTAGGTGTAGATGTAGATGTAGATGCAGATGTAGATGTGAGTCTCGTTGCTGATGTAGATGTAGATGCAGGTGTAGATGTAAATGTAGCTGTCGGTGTAGATGTAGATGTTGCTTTCCTAAATGCTCCAACTCCTAGGTAGGGTCGCACTGGGATAATTCCTCTAATGTTGGCCCTTTGTGTGCGTCTGCCCCGTTGAGCCTCGCCAGTCGCACGCAGCCTGTGTCGGCCCTTGTTGCACCGCCTGCGTCATATCGAGGGGCGTCAGCAGCAAGCACACGTTGGCGCTAACGCGCGCTCTGAGGATCTTCGAAGCGAGCCGCGCTGAAAAGAAAGCCTTCGGGAAAGAGTCGGGCACTTGGGGGGGGGGGCGTGCGGGACAAATCAAGACACTGGATCTCTGAGTTCTCGGCCTCCTTCCCTCCTTTCCTCGCCCTCCCCCGTGCTGCACCCCTCCTTCCTTCTCATGATCGTTCCTCTTCCCCTCTTGCTCCCTCGTCCCTCCTACTCCTCCGCCTCTTCCTTCTCCTCCACCTCATCATCCTCATCATCATCACCATCATCACCACCATCCCTTCTCCTAGTACTAGCAGTTCGTTTTGGCTTGGTTGCCCTCCCTCGATCGTCTCTTCCTCTCCTTCCTTTCTCTTCCTCCATCCTCCCTGGGCTGGACCTGAACGCTGTTTCGCTGGACCTCGGCTGCGCTTTGTGTTTGTCAATTTGGGAGGGAGGTACAGGGGAGCAGGTAGAGCAAAACGAAGCACATAAGGAAAACATAACGAACACACAGCGTTTTGGTCCGGCCCTGTACACCAGCCCCCCTCCCCTCTCTCTCAGGCATTTGTTCACAGACCCCTCACGGGCTACGGCCTGAGACTGGACCATCGCCAGGAAACTCGTCGTGTCGGCAAGGAGCCCCGACGACCCCCAGGACAAGATTCAAGTCGGGCCTGTCCCTCTAGAGGAGGTATATTCAAAGATACTTAAAAATAGTTTGAAACGATTGTTTGATCTGTGTTGACTATGCTTGAAGATGTTTTGACCTTTTCATTTTTCGCCCCAAATCCGCCTGCAGGGGGACACGTCCGAAGACAAGATGCACCATCATCCAGCAGAAACTGAGAGCCGAGACATCGAATTCCCCTCGAACCTCGATCCCATCCCCTCTACCTTGCACTCAAGACGCTGAGAGCCAGACCACTTCGGGCTCAGGACGGGGCTCTGATTTTCGGCGGCCAGGTTGGGAAACCCATCCGCGACCGAGGCTCGAGGTGGCCAGAAGAGCCCCTTCGCTCCCTTCGACGGCGAGCCTGGGGGGGGGAAGGTGAGAAGGGGCGGGCCGTCTCAGAGTGCTCGGAAATCACCCGGCCTTCTGAGAAGTGCTCTGAACCTTCCACGAAGACAGAAACAGCTTCTCAGAAGGCAGCGAGCTTCTGAGAAGTGTTCTGAACCTTCCACGAAGACAGAGAAAACCTCTCAGACGGCTGGGGGGCTTCTCGGGAGCGCTGCTGCCTTCTGTCTGGGCCGCCCCGATGGGGTTCGAGCAGATGGGGTCTGTGGATGGCGCCGCATCGCCGATGCATCGGGGATGCAACTCGATGTGGAGCCCGACTTTCTCCACGCCAGCGTCGCCGATGCATCGCCGATGCATCGCCGATGCGTCGCCGATGCATCTCTCGAAGAAGAAAATCGCCATAACATAATCTTTTGGCGCTCCGCGCGGATTTCTTAGATCCGCGCTGGCCCCCCCGGCGGCGCCTCCGGCGCCGCCCCTGGCGCAGATCCAAGAGATCCGCGCGGAGCGCCAAAAGTGTATGCTTATGGCGCTTCTGCTTCTTCTATTCTCACTTCCCCCCCTCGCTCGCCGCCGTTCCTTGCAAAGGTGCGTTCGTCGCGGCAGCACGGCCAGTGCACTGGCCAAGCTAGCACTTGGGACCCGCTCGCTGCATCATAAGAATAAGAATAATACGGACAATGCCCATAATGGTAGTGATAAGAATGAGGGTAATGATAACCATAATAATATTACTAATCATATTATTATTAATAATCATAATAAGAAAAATACTAATATTTCTAATACTGACAACAATGATCATCACTCACTTCGCCCCCTCGCTCGCCGCGCCGTTCCTTGCAGTCGCGCGCTCTGTCACGGCAGCACGGCCAGCGCACCGGCGGGCCCCGCGGGGGGGCCTCCCGGGAGGCGGCTCGCCGCCCGCGGCCCTCGGCCTGCGTGCCCCCCTCCCCCCCCTTTGCGGGGGCCCCTCCAGACCTGGAGGAGAAGGGAGGAGGGAGGAGGGAGGAGGGAGGAGGGAGGAGGGAGGATGGAGGAGGGAGGAGGAGCAGGAGCAGGAGAGGAGGAGGAGGAGGAGGAGGAGGAGGAGGAGGAGGAGGAGGAGGAGGAGGGGAGGGAGGGGGAGGGGGAGGAGGAGGAGGAGGAGGAGGAGGAGGAGGAGGAGGAGGAGGAGGAGGAGGAGGAGGAGCAGGAGCAGGAGCAGGAGCAGGGGCAGGAGCGGGGGCAGTCCGAGGCCCAGTGGGCGCGCCGAGCGAGGGCGCAGCAGCAGCGCCCCTGCCCTGGGTTGCGAGGCGCTGCGCGCCGAGCCCCCCTGCGGGCTGGCAGGGCAACGCCTGCACGTCGCGCGTGTCGCGCGGCGTCCTGGCGGCCCTCTGGCCTTCGGGAGCTCCCAGGAGGTTTACAGACCACGCACTTGTGACCCAGTGTATAGGGGCGCTTTTGCCTCCCTCGATGCTAGATGCTCGTTTTTGGGGGGGATCTTCCTGGGGCCCACCGGCCGGATCTGCTCGACTCTAGTTCGACTCCAGGCCGACTCCCTTTTTTGATGCAGGCTCGATCACGGGTCCGGCTCAGGTTCGATTCGGTTCAGGCTCGACTCAGGCTCGCTTCCAGTTGACGGGCGTTCGACGACGCAGTTTCGACGCACGAGTGGAGCGAGTGGGTCCGGGAAGGTCCCCAGAATGGGCATCCAAGGTATGCGGCATCCCCGTCCACCCATCTTCGCCTCTCTTCGCCCCACTAGCTAACCCCCGACGATGGTGGCGGAGTGGTGAAGCTGGCGTGGGGTCTGAGGTGCCCCAGCGCTGGTTCTCGTCAGCAGGAAGGGTGGGCCGATGCTCGACGTTCTGGGTTCGAGGTATGATATTCCAACCTACAAGGAATTTCGAGCACCAGGAAAGTACCGAAATTGGAGGGTTTTCACGTGTCGGGCCCTGGGAGGCGACACTCGTTGGACACTGTTTCGATATTTTTCTAGGGGCTCGAAATTATGTTTGGGATGTGCTCCCTAAGTTCGATGGGGACAGCATAAGGTTCGAGAAGGTGTTTGTGTTGCCACGTGACCGTCTCAAGCGGAGCCGGGGCGAGAGGCTGCCCCAGATGGACCCTGGGAGGAGTCCAGAGATAGATTTTCAGCGGAGTTGACCTCGCCCCCCCTCTTGATCGCTCTTCTGGGGCCCAGCTAGGGGAAAGAACAAGCACACAAACATGCGAACTCGGAGGTCCGCGCGGATCTCCGGGATCGGTGCTGGACCCCCCTCCCTGGCCCAGCGCCGACACGAGAAATCCGCGCGGACCTCCGAGTTTTTATGTTCATGTCATTGTTCGCGCACGTCGGGCGCTGCAACGACGCTGTCGGGCAGCAAATTACATAAACGAGCGCAAACGAACGCGGAACGAATGACACAGTTTGGTACTCGAGCTGGACAGGGATCGACAAAATGGCCAAAATGCCGACGAGGCCCACGGAGAGGAAACACACGCCGGCCCCCTGCTGAACATCGCCCTGTTTCCCTACCAACATCCCAGTCGAGACCCCCCAGTCGCCTCCAACCCCCAGACTCCGCCGTCACGCTGGACGGCGTCGCGTTCTGCCGGCACCAGGCGCCGCCGCGGCGCCCGGCCGCGCCCCGCCCCCCTCTCGCGGCAGGAGGGGCTCTCTTGCGGGAGGCGCGCCCTGGAGGTTGTCTGTTTTTTGTTCGGTGAACGCGCAGCGCCTCCTCCTCCTCGATCCGATCCGATCCTCCTCCTCCTCTTCCTCCTCCTCCTCCTCCTCCTCCTCCTCCTCCTCCTCCTCCTCCTCCCCCCTCCCACCTCCGTCCTCCCTGCCTTCTCCTCCTCCCTCCTCCTCCTCCACTCCCTCCTCTCCATCCTCCTCCCTCCTCCTCCTCTCACCTCCTGCTCTCCTCCTCCTCCTCCTCCTCCTCCTCCCTCCTCCTCCTCCTCCTCCTCCTCCTCCTCATCCTCCTCCTCACCCCCTCCCTCCTCTCCCTCCTCCTCCTCCTCCTCCTCCTCCTCCTCCTCCTCCTCCTCCGTCGCCTCCATCCCCGTTCACCCCTCCTCCCCGTAATGGAACGTACGCAGGAGGGGGGGGTACTAGTTCCCCACATGCTTGGCACGGTGTTTACGGGCATGTCGCGGTGCTCATTAAGCGTTGCCTTGCGCTCCGATCCCCCCCTCCGCCCCGTAAAGGACGTGACGGGGGGAGGGGAACAAGTAATTACACAATCTCCTGGTGGTCCTTCGCCGGGTTCTGGGTCCTTCGCCGGGTTCTGGATGTTCGGCGTCCTCGTGAGCTCTCGGAGGCTATCCCAGACTCTTGATGCGTTGCAGCACTCGCGCCTCGCGGAGAGCGTTACCAGGGGTGCCCAGATCGACCCGAGAGCTGATCGCCCGAGTTCTGACCCGAAAGGTAGATGTTTGTATATCTCCCTACGTATGTATATATATGTATATATATATATATGTATACATGAAAATAGACAGATAGAAGAACGCATTAAGCATTCCAGTGTATGTTCGTATGTATTATATATGTGTAGATGTGCGAACGAGTATGTATGATTATGCTATGTTTGTATGCATGGAATGTATACATGCCTGCATGCATGCATGTATGTATGCAACTATGCATGTATGTAGGAATGCATGTGTACATGCATGGATGCATGTATGTATGCATGCACGCATGCATTGATGTATGTGTGTATGTCTGTGTATGTGTGTATGCATGTACATGCGTATGGCTTATGCTTGTATGCATGAAGATATGTATGTACATGTACATGTATGTATGTATTGATTGATTCATGGGTGGGTAGATGGGTTGCTGGGTGGATAGCTGGATTGATACATGGATGGATCATGGATGTATGGATGTATGGATATCTGGACGGTTTGATGTAGGTATGCATGCATTCAGGCATGTCTGTATATATATATATATATATGTGTGCTTGTAGGTATGAGCATGTATGTATGTATGCATGCATGTGCGTGTATGTATGTACGTATTCACGTATGTATGTATGCATGCATGTATTTATATATGTATGTATATCTATTTATGTGTATGCATGCATGTATGGATTTTCCTACGCACGTACGCATGCATGCATGTGAGCATATACGTATGTCTGTATATTCTATAAGATATGGAATCATGAATGTATGCTCGTATGCTAGTATGCATAGCTTGATGTACGTACATATCCCACGTGCTGGACACATCAAGCCAAGGCGGACATTCTCCGCCGGTGCAGCTGCCAAGACCCTCCCTGGGCCCTGGGGCCGTCGAACAACCGCTCGGCATCGAGAGCTCGGGAAGAAGGCCCCGAGCCGAGGTCCAGAGTCCGGTTCGGCAACAGGGCCCTCTTCTGTCCCTCAGAGGTGACGGCCTGCGGAGGGAGGATCCGGGGCGGCGGAGAGGGGGAGAGGGGGCGCGTCAGGACATCATCAGAAGGGGTGCATCAGGACATCAGGAGTTGATTCCCAGCGCATTCCCCAGAACAGTGCTTGCACATCAGGGGTTCTTATTCTCCGAGCGTGAGGAACTGGAGGGGCTTCCCTGGGGGGTTCGGCCGGAGCCCGGTCGGTGAGCGCCTCGCGGGCGCCCCGCGCTGGGTGGGTTCTCCGAGGTGTCGCCCGGTGCCTTCCCGTGGGACCGGACCGGGCCCCGGGGGGAGAGGTTTGGGAGGGGGGGGAAGATCTCACACGCCGATGACCCCAAGGGGTCGACGGATTTTGGCTGTTGTTGGCGCCTGTTTCGAGCAGGTGGAGCCTCCCCCACAGGACGCACTGCTGCAAACCGTCGCATTAAGCGGAGGTACCGAGCCAGACCCTCCCCCGTATCCCCCTTTCGGCCCAAGGTCGAATCGCCGAATGCTTAAGCATCTTTCTGGTTGCGCTCTGGCATGGATTTCTGGCGTAATTCAGTTCTGGCCACGAGGAGCCTCGAGGGGCTCCAAGAACGGCAAAAACACTTTCAAGTACCGTTCGAATCTCTCGGTTCAATGCTCGATTTTCGCAGCCTCCCGACCCCAGTTGGGCATATGGCAAGTGCTTGAGCGCGTCGGCGCTCACGCCGGCGGATTCGTCGCCGTGGTGTTGGCCCGCCGCCGCCCCACCGCCGCCGCGCTCTGGCTTCCCTTGTGAGCAGCCGCGGTTGGGTGTCGCTGCGCAGCGGGAGCGGGAGCAGTGGCGTCAGCGTTTGCAGTAAACGCAGGGCTAAAAGGATGAGGATCAGTCGCAGCAGTATTAGAAGCAAGATGAGTAGCAGTCGTCGCAACGTGGTATTCGTCGCGGTCGCAGTATATAGTAGTAGTAGTAGTAGTAGTAGAAGAAGAAGAAGAAGAAGTAGTAGTAGTAGTGGTAGTGGTAGTAGGAGTAGGAGTAGGAGTAGGAGTAGGAGTAGGAGTAGGAGTAGGAGTAGGAGTAGGAGTAGGAGTAGGAGTAGGAGTAGTAGTAGTAGTAGTAGTAGTAGTAGTAGGAGTAAGAGTCAAGCTAGCCAGCTCGAGCGAGTCAAGCATGGCATGCCCAGTCCCACCCGCCCTCCCACAACATAAAAAGCAAAGCTGGCACAACTGGGGGCCGAAGTCACACCGGCCAGCCGGTTTGGTACAGCTGATGCGGCCGCGATGGCGGTTGCCGACGGGAACTGGCGAGCGCGTGTTGAATGCCGCGCACGCATTGCCAGACGAGTCGAGAATGGCCCGGTACACCGCAGGAAGCCAGAGGTGGCCGGAGGAAGCCCGACGGTCTGACAGGACACCCCAAAGCATTTTTGTGAAAAAGCATTGGGTTTTTGATGTTTTTATGTTGAAATGCTTGCAAAAACACGGTATTCGGTAGGATTCTGACATGAACGCGCGAGTGTGCTCTTTGTAGTATTTTTTGCACAGGATTCGCGGCCTGGGTGCATGACAGAGCATCGCGAGTGCACCGCGCGATGACGTGAAATCGCTGGATTTGACCGAATTCTTAAGATTCCTATGGTTTTCCTATGATTTCAGCAAGAGAGCCCGGGCGGGAAATTTGTACAATTTTTTGTGAAAAAACATGGGGTTTTTGATGTTTTTATGTTGAAATGCTTGCAAACACACGGTGTTCGGTAGGATTCTGACATGAACGCGCGCGTGTGCTCTTTGTGGTATTTTTTGCAATGGATTATCGCCGTGGACGACAGGACGTCCATGTCGAGAGGAAAAAATAAGAAAAATGTTGATTTTGTATTGTTTTTTACAGGTTAGGATGGGACCACCCGGATGCGGCCCCTAATGGCCGGCCTGAGGGGGGAGTAGGAGTATATTCTAATAAGGAATAAGGATAGGAGTGTAGTAGTAGAGTAGTAGTAGTAGTAGTAGTAGTAGTAGTAGTAGTCGTAGTAGTAGTAGTAGTAGTAGTAGTAGAAGTAGTAGTAGTAGTAGTAGTAGTAGTAGTAGTAGTAGTAGTAGTAGTAGTAGTAGTAGTAGTAGTAGTAGTTAGTAGTAGTAGTAGTAGTAGTAGTAGTAGTAGTAGTAGTAGTAGTAGTAGTTGTTGTTGTACTGCTTGTTGTAGTCGTCTTCTTATCAGTTGTAGCAGGTAAAGTAGTAGTGCTCGTAGTGGTGGCAGTAGTAGTAGTAGTAGTAGTAGTAGTAGTAGTAGTAGTAGTAGTAGTAGTAGTATTAGTAGTAGTAGTAGTAGTAGTAGTAGTAGTAGTAGTAGTAGTAGTAGTCGTAGTAGGAGTAGTAGGAGCAGTAGAAAGTAGTAGTAGTAGTAGTAGTAGTAGTAGTAGTAATAGTAGTAGTATCAGTAGTAGTAGTAGTAGTAGTAGTAGTTGTTGTAGTAGTAGTAGCAGTAGTGGTGTCACCCTGTCCCGATGGCCGGGAGCGTCCCGCTTATCTACGGTTGGTCTTTATGTCTGACCGTGAATACTCAGGAGCAAAACAAAGACGTACACGTACATGAATCCACGCTGGTTTCGAGAGTACGCATTGCGCAAATGTTCGTATAGCGCGGCCAGCATCGCGGATCGATGGGGCCGCGTTCATGTACATAGCTGGGCGCGTACGTTCTTTGTGGGCTGCCTAAATACTGGTATGTGGGAAACGAATAGGCACTACGCGTAAATCGCGTTTTGTTTCTTCATGTTTCCCCCTCGCGTCGGAGCCGTTATGACGCCCTTTGGGTTCCTTCGGGATTCTTCGCGATATTCCCGGCGGGGCCGTTCGGATTCCGATTTGTCGCGACAGGATTTGAAGACTCATGAGGAATCCTGAGACATCCTGAGGTTTCCCCAGGAATCCAAGGGAATTCTGCAAGATTCGGGAGCGCCTCTGAGGAATCCAGAAGACTCCCCAGAATTCGTTGAATCCTGAACCTGTCCTGCATATTGTTGGGAGCTTCCGAGGGGCCTCTGAAAACTAGGGAGGGCTTCCGAGAGGCTTTTAATTGGCCCGAGAGGCTTATGGGGGTTGCCGCAAGGCCAGTAAGAGCTTCCGAGAAGCGAGAGGCCTTGAGAAGTTATGGGAAAAATGTTTTCTCAAAACTCCCGAAAAGGCTGCTGAGACACCTTGAGAAGCCTTTGAGAGATTCCTAGAGGTCTCTGTGGACATCACCGAGAAGCCTTGAGAGCTCTCAAGAGGCCTGAGAGCTCCCGAAGAGGTATCTGGGACGTCCAGAGAGATCTCCGAGAGATTTCTGAGGGTTCCCGAGAGGCTTCTGAGATTTCGTGAGAGGCTTCTGGGAGTGTCCTAGGGGCTTGTGAGATTCCCCGAGATCTTTCTGAGAGCGTCCGGAAGGCCTCAGAGAGGCCCCGAGGGGCTCCTGAGAGCCCCCGAGAGGCTTCTATGAACGTCCGATCGGCTTCGCACAGCTCCGGGTGAGACCGTAGAGAGCTCCCGAGAGTCTTTTGGGATTTCCCGAGAGGATTCCGCGCGCGTCCATGAGGCCCCAGAGAGCTCCCGCGATACATCTGGGCATTTTTCAGAGGTCCCGAGGGGCCTCCCTGGGAATTTCTTTAAGGTTTCTGAGAGCTCCCGGGAGGCCCTTGCGAGCGACCGAAAGGCTTCTGAGAGCCTCCGATGGGGGCGTTCAGAGTTTGAGGGGCCGTCTTGAGGGCCCTTGTGGCCGTCATCCAGACTTCCCGGTGGCTGCGCGAGGCGTTTCGATTTGGGCCGTCTTAGAGCCGTCATCAGAATCTGCGGGGCCATCTTTGACGGCTGCCAAACCGGGACGCCCTCGAGCCCACGAGAGACATATGGGGTCCTCACGGGCAGTCTTGGTGGCCTCGTTGGAGCACGGTGAGCGGGGAGATGGTGATGACCGCGGCGATGGCGACGATTGGGCTGATGATGAGAATCCGCCGGAGGATCGGGTGGATGTGAGCTTCGCAGAAATCAGCAGAACTTAGCAGGGCTTACCGAAACTGAGCAGGGCTTAGCGAGGCTTTCCAATATTCACCACGACACACCAGGGTTCACGAGGGCATATCCGGATGTGACATTCCTCACCAAAGGCCAGCAGGGCTTCGCCCCGCTTAGCAAAGCTTAGCGTAGCTTAGCGGAACGAAGCGTGGCTTACCACAGCTTGCAGGGGCTAGCGGAGCCCAACAGGGCGCTGCAGGCATTAGCATAGCCCAGGAAGGCGCACCAGGGGCGCAGGAGGGCTTACCAGGGCGCACCAGAGCTCACAGTGGTTACCAGAGGTCCGAGGATGACCCGAGCTCAGCAGGGGTCAGCAGGATTGTAACAGGGCCCCGCAAGGCTTCGTGGGGCCGCGCATAGCTCAGCAAGGGTTAGCAGCAGTCCCCGTGAATTTGTGGCCAGTGTTGCGGCTGGGCCTTACTATAAGTCTAACAGAACCTTTTTCTCCGGGATTGGTGTATTTCACATTTCGCCTGCGGCCAGTTCTTGTGGTTTCAGATTGCATGTATTATATCTTTTCCACCTAATGATTGAATATTCAATGAATTGGGGTCGGAATGCATCCTATTGGGTTCCGATTCGATCGTTATTGGAGACCGATAGCCGCTTGATAGATTTCGCATTGAATTCTTGGGGGGCGTTCCTATTGCAGTTCCGTGTGAATTCTTTTTCGAAATTTTCCGATTTAATTTCCACAGGGAGGATGCCCGCCGAAACCCAAACCAAAGCCCAAACCTTCCAGGCCATGAGTCCACTGTGACTCTGGCGGTCGTGGCTGTAGTAGTAGTAGTAATCGTAGTAGTAGCCGTAGCCGTAGTAGTAATAGTTAGTAGTAGTAGTAGTAGTAGTAGTAGTAGTAGTAGTAGTAGTAGTAGTAGTAGTAGTAGTAGTAGTAGTAGTAGTAGTAGTAGTAGTAGTAGTAGTAGTAGTAGTAGTAGTAGTAGTAGTAGTAGTAGTAGTAGTAGTAGTAGTAGTAGTAGTAGTAGTAGTAGTAGTAGTAGTAGTAGTAGTAGTAGTAGTAGTAGTAGTAGTAGTAGTAGTAGTTGTAGTAGTAGTAGTAGTAGTAGTAGTAGTAGTAGTAGTAGTAGTAGTAGTAGTAGTAGTAGTAGTAGTAGTAGTAGTAGTAGTAGTAGTAGTTGGTGGTTGGTTGTAGTTAGTAGTTAGTAGTTAGTCTTGTAGGTTCGTAGTAGTGTAGTAGTGTAGTAGTAGTAGTAGTAGTTTTGTAGTTGTAGTTAGTTGTAGTAGAGTTGTAGCAGTAGTAGTTAGCTGTTATATTAGGAGCTGTAGTTAGTAGTAGTTGTCTGTAGTTGTTTAGCCAGTAGTAGTTGTAGTTGGTAGTAGGTTGTTGTAGTAGTTAGTAGTAGTAGTAGTTCTTAGTTGTAGTAGTAGTAGAGTAAGTAGTAGTAGTAGTAGTAGTATTCGTAGTCGTCGTAGTAGTAGTCGGAGTATAGTAGCAGTAGCATGTAGTAGTTTGTAGTTGTAAGTTGTAGTTGTTCTTAGTACTTGTTTACTAGTAATAGCCTAGTCACTAGTAATAATGTAGTAGTTGTAGTAGTAGTAGTGTTAGTAGTAGTTGTGATTAGTAGTAGTAGTAGGAGTAGGAGTAGGAGAGGAGGAATCGTGGAATCGGAGGACGAGGATTTGGGTAGTTGTAGTTAGTAGTTTTGTAGCAGTAGTAGTCGTAGTAGTAGTAGCAGTAGTAGTAGT